CAATACACCTCCAATGGCAATTGGTACCACACCTGCGGAGGGACCCTGATAAACAACAGCTGGGTCCTGACGGCCGCCCACTGCATCAGGTAACTACCACTCCCTGGGCACTTGGCCTGCTCACCAGCCGGTGCTCATTTCTGAGCTGGGGGCTCAAATGGCCTGAACCATGCTACATAAAGGAATCTTGCAAATAACCACTAGACTGGCTGAGACACAAGCTGTAGTCAATCAATGGTTCAATGTGTTGGCCCATCAATGTCAGCACACGGCATAGATGGTGTGTCCTGTGCCAGGTACTGAGGGAGGATGAGGAGAAGGGGAAGGCCTGATCTCTGCCCTCTTGGGGAAACCACATGTGGCCTCTGGATCTGGAATTGGGTTCCCTTGAACAACTTGACTTCTCAAAGCTTCAATACCATCACCTGCAGAAAACAATGGAGTAATAGAATTTAGTGTGAATTCAATGAGTTGATTTACTAAAGGGCCTGGCACTTAGTAAGTGCCCAGTGAAAGCTAATTCTGAATTGTAGACTAATTATAAAGGCCCACGAGGTTCTGCAACGTTGTTCACTTATCCTCTTCGTTGTCCGTGACTTCTGCTCATCACAGCTGGAACTCACCAGAGCTTCTGCTGGGTCCGTGTGACTCCCTATCAGGAGTGATCCCTTCTCCCATCTAATTTATAATAAGCTCTAGGAGGTGATGGGGAAACTAATAGAGACTTACAGTCAGGAGTCCTGGCTTCTGGTTCTGGTTTCTCACTAACGATGGGACTCTGGGCCAGGTTACACCTCTCTGGGCTTCAGTTTCCCCATCTGAAAATGAAAGGTGGGAAAAATGTCCTTGAGAGCAACTGACTCCTGTTTTCTCTGTGTTCATCTCATTCCCTCCATAATCCTACAGAGTCTGTGTTATTACAACATTTATTTTATAGTATAGTTTAAAGTTAGTATAGTAACAATTATTATATGATCATAGTTCTTACGTTATATACTTTAGGCTCTATTATAACTAACTGATTGTCCCAGGGGAGGAAAGATCCCCCAAGCCCAAGCCCCACCTAGTGGCTCATGCAGCAGCCAGTTACTTGGGTCTATCCCAACACTGTCCAAAGCCAGGCCTCTGGAGGTGACCCTCTCCCTGGACCCCCTTTCTCCCAGTGACTCCAGGACCTACCGTGTGGGGCTGGGACGGCACAACCTCAAAATTGCAGAGTCCGGCTCGCTGACCGTCAGTGTCTCTACGACTGTGGTGCATCCGGACTGGGACTCCAGCGATGCCTCCAAAGGGTTCGTTTCTGTCTGGGTGCACTTGGGGGTGAGGTTGTCAGGGAACACATGGGGGTCTCACAGAGGAAAGGGTCTCAACTCCACCACATGCCCTCT